TGTATACTACACTAATTTCAGCAGGAGCACTCGAAGTGAAGCCGATGTCCAGTGGACACATCTCTGCTGCCGAGAACACCATCGATGGATTCGAAGACATCAGCCTCGGTGAGTCTTACTTTTGATTTTCCACCCAGCAAGTTTCAGTATGGCTACCCTGAAATACTGCTGTTTGATCCACTTCCAGCTCAGCATCTGGTTCCTACAAATGCTCCCCTGATGACCGGCCTGATGATGCACCATATCCCTCCGGAAACGGATTGGTCTGCATCCTAGGGAATTTCCTTCCCATTGTAGAAATAAAGAATCAGCCGGGTGAAGTAGGGTTGGCACCACTTACTCTGTTCACAGAGCTGAGATCAGTCTCAAACTGAATGCCGTTCGTTAATTGGTAGCAATTTTTGGGTAATATCTCGCCCTGCTCGGCACCATATGAGCAATTCATTTATTGGCCCAATTGCTCCCACCAATCAGGTCTCCTTAGCCAGAAAAAACCGTTGCTGTTTATGACTGATTCTGAACATAGCCTAAAATTGGAACTATTCCCAGGATATGTTTCCCGGGGCTGAAAGAAGTACACAATGGAATGATGTAAAAAGTAAAGCTGGGTTCCCAATAGATCAATGTTTTCTTCCCCGTGCTTATTTTTGGAACAGGTGAAAAATTGTCCCCTTCGAACCAGATTATCACACCTCCCGAAAATAGGCTTAAAAAATGCCCAAGCCGGCGCAGTAGCCAGCCGAGGCTTCTTCTGGTCAGATTATCATCAGCTTCTGCTGTTTATTCTTGGCATCACCTCCGGCCAATATTGACCTTGACTGGTGTTTTTTGATAGGCCCGTTGACTGTTTGAACACTTCTGTCGACGAATTCGTTCGTATTCGTCGTCAGACATGATGCAAAGATTTCTTTACAGAACAACGATCGATCACCACGACCACCGCCAACACTGCCGCCGCCTCCGCTGACACATCCAAGCCACGAGTGCTGGTGGAAAAAGAGCGGAACGCCATCAATATGAACGATATTATGATGGACGAGATTCTCGGGGACGATAAGCACGACGACGTGGACGCCGTTGTCGAGGTGGGCAGTGAAATTCTATAAGCGCTTAACAGTGGTCCCAGGTTTTTCCATGTAGGAATAGATAGAAAAAGGAAAAAGCTTCCGGCGTTGATAAGCCCGTTGTGGTATGCGCCGCCACATATCCTACTTCCATTCGGAATCGCGGTCGAATTTGAATGCGCTATGGCTTATGCAATGACCTGCTGGACCAGCTGACTACAATCCGAGACATTTGTTCTCCCAGACGAGTCTGGTATCGATAAACTGGCCCAGAAGGGAAGGAAGGCTTGTTTAGAATGAGCCATGCACACCGCCAAGGGATCGAATTCTGGATCGTGCGAATTCCATGCCAAGCAAGTTTTCGATCCCTCCATAGTCGAAGAACTTATCAGACATGTCTGCGAGGATAAGGATAAAGCATTTGCCGTTGATCAATCCCTTTTTGGGATGCGGCACGCATTCTACTTCCATTTGTATTCGTAGTGGCGTTTGAATGCGATGTGGCCTATACAATGACTTGCGGGGGCCAGCCGATGTACAAGTCAGTGTTTTTATCCTCCCAGACAAGTCTGGTACCAATTAACCGACCCCGGAGGGATGGAAGGCTTGGTTGGCCCGGGCGACTCACGACCCAGGATTTGATCCCGGACCGCTCGCGTGGTAAGCGTGCCACTTGCCACTACACCACTTCCGCCCTTTTTTCCTTGTCTGGGAGGACAAATACATATTTTCGAATAACTTATCCCTGCACGTCACTGCATGGGCTGTCTTGTATTCAAATGCCACTGAAGTTTTGGTAGAAGCTGAGCTCATGGCGCATCCCATGATCAACGCTGATTGTTTTATACTTTTTATCTTAAGCGTAACGACTTCAAGCGTTATGGGAGAATTAATGAGAAAAGCGCGAGCATTTCAGGTGAGCATAGACAAACCACTAATTTCCGTGCTGTAATTATAGTTTCTCGTTTCTGGGTCATTTTCCGGAATTCGCATCAACCATAGAATCTGATTCAGACCCGGGTCTCGTACAGGAGTTGCGGTCCCGACGATCCGTGCGTCGTAACTCACTTTGACTCATCACCCGATCTCATCATTTTCAGATTCAGGTCTGAATTGACCCTTACTGAAGACAAATCATGACACAAGTCTCACTACGGCCGCAAACACTGTCGTGTCGTATAACGCGCCGGTTTGCGAACGCGGCTGATAACGGGGGAAAGGTCAAGAGTGCGATGGGAGAAGAATTGTTTAGGAGACACTAAGTTCAGCAAGGAGATCATCATTTTCCGGGGGCAGTGTTGAACGTTTATTGGTACATAACCAACGTTAGAATCGTATTTGGCCCACGAGTTTTAAGAGGAGGGGGGGGGGGTGTAAACGCGATTATCAGCAGTAGAAATTACGACGGTATCGATTTATAATACGTAACCGAATTATAAGCGTAGCGCATTCGTGGCGCACTCCATGGCACGAACTTTTAGTGCAAGGTGCTTTAAATTCAACTATACAACAATTAAGCTCACTGAAAAGGGAGGGCGGGGTCAAAAAAAGTGATGAAAGACTACAACGCCAGGCTGGTGACCATGTCTGAAGCGCCAAACGCCCCTCGAATCCACACGAAATCCTAAAAGCATATCGAGGTGTGTTGAGGCTCGTGTGGACACAATCAGGCTGCTCGGTCGAATTGAGGAGTTGATTTAACAAGTAAACCAACTCGATCAATCGGAAAAAATAATCAATGGAGGAAACTCGCGTTGGTCAATCACGATGGCGAATCGATCTTGGAAGCTGCGGTATAGCCTTGCAAACCACTGCACTCCATCCTCTTTTGACCAGACCATGAATTAAACAAATTGAAAAAAGAACAAATAAATCATGGAAGAAGTTTTTATTAGAAAGAATCAAAATTGTGATGATTTCTGTCTAATTGGTGTTTGATAATTATATCAATAAATTAGGACGCAATATCGATAAGCACCAATGTGATCGAAGAAGTGGACGAGACGGAACTTTCCCGACTACGGCTGCATCCGTCATGTGAGGTGCTCCTTCCGGCGAAACCCTCGAGTAAGGAACGACTTCCTTCAGAGGATGAAGAAGACAATGCAGTTTTCTGTGATGCTCGTGGTGACCGTGATGATCACGATCGGGACCACAACGACCACGACGATCGGGAAGAAATAAGTGAGCATGACAATGTGGTTGTCAAAAAAGAAAACCTCCACCTTTCTGTGGAAATGCCATCGACATCAAAAGAGAATGATGAAAAAGAGGAACGTCCAAAGATGATTGAGGGAGCGAGAATCTGCAACCGTAGAGCACCGTTCGGTAATGATGAGATTCAGCGAGTCGAAAAGAGGTTGAAAGTGGGAGAAATAGTCCAAAATTGGACAAATCATCAGAGACTTTGCACACTCTGAAAAGCTCAGCTAGTCCAAGTGTGATTCAAATAGTGCCAAAGGAAGACGCCGAGTCGGACAACGACGAAGAGATCATTATATCGGCCGATGTGACGCCGACAGTACAAAGTGAGTTCCATACTTGTTCTTTCTTTTGGCCTATTACAGTAATCGTTTCGTTTCAGAACCCTTTGATCCGCCTCCGGTACCGGCGACAAAATCGATCATGTACGCCGATACGTCGTCATCGGAAGAGGAGAGTGACGATGAAGCGAGTCGAGAGGTCTTGCCTCCTGTTCAGCGATCTCAACGAATCATGAATATTGATCAATTACGGACGGATCAGCTCGTAAATGGCCGCATTGGCAGTGACTCGACGTTGAACGGCTCCATCAGGAGACCACTGGACACTTCAAGCTCTTCGGACGACGATGATTATATTCGGGAGATCAGCAGAAGCAGTTCCAAAGAGGTGAGAAAGCACTTCTTGCCTTTATTTCCGAATGTGCTCACACTATGCGTTATAAAAAAGAGACCAGTGTTCAACACATTCTTCCGCGCGCGGCTGCGTCACGGCCAACGCTGTGACGTGACTGCGCGCAGATGTTTTATACTTTGCGCCACGTGATGTGCCTAAAGCAGTAGCTATTTGAAAAATAAGAACGAAATTCGGCGAAAATGTCTTCAATGAAAATTGAACAAAATTGGTTACCATAGCTTGAAGGCAGGAAAAAAGCTAACAGCTGCTCGTTGGCATTCATTGCTATTTCCATCTCACGAAATGTCTGAGTGGGCGTGTTATTGCACTAATGGACGAGTTTTACCACATAAATATTTTCAGATCAGCGGCGGCGCAGCTGTCACAAGGATTGTCGTTCGAGAAAATGGTCTACCAGATGTGCTCTCATCCGGTGGTGTGAAACTTAACGTGGAAACGATCACTGATGAAGAATTTTCCGAGAAATTGATCTAACCACAAAGGAGTTTTTGATAACAGATGCTCTTCTTATTATTCAGTACTGTGTACTGTATCTACAGTTGTGCGTTTCAGTACCAACACGCATGACGTTACTACTAGTCCGTATTCGAATGCATTCTATTTTACGGATGTTGCTCAATTGACGTTCAATTTATTTCAACAATTCATGTTCATAGATTTCTAGAATTTTCTCCTAGCTCTACTTACTTTTAATCAGGGTGAATATCGGTCGAGGATTCTCAACGGCTCGTCGAGGATTTTCGCCTGATCAGTTACGTCTCCCGCGCGGACATTCACACTCGCCATGCGCGAGCCGTCTGTGCTCTCCGCGCGTACGTTCACTCTCGGCACTACTCTCGCACAGTAGAGAGCATGGTCGAGGATTTCCTCGACCGTTATTCACCCTGCTTTTGATGCATATCAATGCCTGAGGATTCTCTAATCGAGGAACAAATATGTCTGTGTGCGCTCTTACTCCGGTAGAACAAAATGTAAAATAATTACTTAATAAATTGTTTAGGATTTTTTCTATTTTGACACAGTCATAGGAGCACCCACACACTGACACATCAAATACAGCGTCAACTTTTGGCGCTGACGTAGCGGATGGGATGGGGTAGACGTGGGGAGTAAGTGACGGATGCCCTGCGGGGAATTTTTTCAAGTTTTATGAAATATTGCTGAAATAATGGAAAGGGCGTTGTTTCACAGACTGTAAATACCTTTCCTTCTCCTCCGCTTCACTGGCAATTTTGGAGTGATTGGAGGGCGAATTGGGAGCGTGTCAGGTGTCATTTCATGGCGGGTTCAACAGCACTACCAATACCATCCGCATTAAGCCAAAATTTTCGGAATACGGCTTCAGCCTTTCCATTATGAAGTGACGACACATCTCTAATAGGTGTCTTACACGCAAATACACA